TTTAGATATTAATTTGGACTTGGAGGCTGCTGAAAAAACTAATCTTTTCAATGACCCCAAATGTCCTAGTCTCCCGGCCGGTGAGTCGTTATGTTTTCCTCGCCATCTTGTAGAATATTACCATTTTGCATGCTGCACCTTTAACAGTCATAATACAGAACGCAGTCCCTTAAGGAACTTACCCTTCGAGGGAAACATAAATTGCCTACTGAATTGGATTGCAAAGAAAACCAGAGTTGGGTAAATAAGTAGCTGGTTGAGCTGTGGATTGTGGGCCCGTAAACGAATATGTCGGCAGAAGTAGGAAAAAAACACTAGATACATAATTTACGAGGCGATATCGCCAGTCGACAACCAGCCTCGAATATCTATTGACAGCAGACAGCTAGATTAGATCCATGCTAGTAGTGCGTGCTTTATGGCTTCTCGTATCGCACAACTGTTTTCTGGTGACATGCTCCTGACACCCCTTTCCTTTCAGTTTGACTTTTATTATTGCAGGAGTAGTTAGGACATCAGACGAGATAGAGGTCACCAAATTTTTCATCCTAACTCAATGTTTTATTTTTGTGCTACGCCTGCTTGCGCTGGTCCAACGGGACGGTGTGCCATTCTGGTCGCTATTCCCGGGACAGCTCGTTGGCCTGCCTGATTGGAATTCAATTCACCATATTGCCTACTCCCTCCCCCCCACAAATATGCATGCTACACTGTCCAAATGCATACAAAATTGGAACGCTGGCTACTGGTTGGTCGTATCGTTTCTTTGATAACGCGCCTCTTACTGTTGTTCTCGTATAACTAATACTGGATCGACATATAGGTCCGGCCAAACATATAAGTGACTTCTGTATTTAACTGTTTTACTTGATTTATACATTGATTTATCTGGGACTCGATTATTCGTCTCCCCTGCTCCTTTATCCACAAGAGGCTTACTTTCGCCATTGGAAATTGCCATATACTCAGAATCACATTTGTCGCAGTCAATGTTGTATGTTTAAGTGATTCCGATATCTAGACCAAAAAACTGCTGATAGTATCGCTCTCGAATGAGCTACCCGCATTACCTTCGGAGTGCGTCTCATCACCTGATTCCTTAGTTCTCCGGACCAGGACAGTATCGAATTGCGCGAGATTTATCCGGCCAATCTCTTGATCTGTAAAGAAACGTAGCATATTGAAAGCAAGGAACAAGAGCATAGAATGTACTTTTTTCAGAAAAGGTATCTTCTTTGTGATCACTAGAAGTTTTAATCGATCATACTCCGAACATCACGCTTGTTTTATCTCTGGACACCGTCTTCCACTGTCTTTAGTGTCGTCCTGCAGATAAGTAGTTCATTTTTGTTCTGATTTAAAAAAATGCCGTCTGAACAATTGAACCATTTGTGTATTTACTGATAATCGGATTTTTTTATGCGTGGGCGATTTGTCTTCCTAAAATGTACGCAAGAGCCATATTGTCATCAAGTGCCCTCGAAGCATTTTTTCAGTAGATGGCTTTGTGGGTTGTTTTACTGGCGTTTAGCTAACTTCAGCGGAGCTCACGTACACACTTTTACAACCGGTTCGTGCAAAATATTGCCGCCACCGCTTTGGTTAAGCGTGTTATAAACCCTTGAACGGTACTCCGATCCTATTTGGGAACATTGAAAAATGTAGTCGAACTCCAGACTACTGGTTCACCTCATGCTCTTATTCTTCACCATTAGAAAATGATTGTATGTAACTGAGTGCTCCTCACTACTGATAAGTCTGACGTACTTGCATTTACAAGGATGCGCCACCAGTTCGATTCGGAAGACTCCCAACTGACGAGATAACAAGGTTCATTTATGACTGAGACTCGGGCCGCAAGGACTCCTGGATGTGGCCCCCATGGCGCTCTCACACATGTGGGGTCTAGGCCACCCTCACTAAGGCCTGGTACATGTTGTGGGAACACGTCGTGTGTGTGGCACGCGTAGACGTTTTGTTTAACTGCCTCTACGCCCACCTTTGCATGTCTTGACATCGTAATACCATCATAGCCGTTTAAGGGAGAGGGCAGAGTGTGCGGTCTGCCTCACTTATTAATGCGCGAGTCGCCGCCGCTCCCACTACGTGCTCGCGACGATCGAAACCGTCCGTTTAGTTTGGCTGACCTTGTCTGCTCCTGCCTCAGTAATTTGCTTCTATTGTGAGCCTCTTTTCTTCTTTTTGTCCGTTTTTTAGTCCCGACGCGTAAAGTGTCGCCCAAGTACTTCCGGTTGGATAAGTCGCCTGGTTTAGATTCGGCAGATGTTGGAATCGAGTTAGCTGGCGATGTAAAGGATGGTGATGCTGCCGATAGGCGTTGTGTCGTCTTTCGTCAGATCGCCTCTTCGCCCAACTTCGCGGTCCTGCGCTCTCCACAACCCGTCCTGCCCAACAGCCCCAATGGACTCACACCCGCGCTCTCCACCTATTGGGCCTTCAATGCCGAGCCCACAGTCTGGCCGAAGATCAGCTGGCCCAGACACTTTTGGCTTATCCTCGCAGCCTTCTTCTTCGCTGGTCTCGAGACGACCTATGGCGCCTTTGTGCACACCTTCACTTTGCGAACCTTACACTGGAGCCCGGTAAGATTACTTAGGAAAATTTTTAAACATTAACAAACAACCTTAAGTAGATTTTAAGCTTGAAGGAAATATATAAAAGGTATTATAACCGAGGCCACTAATTTTTCAAAATTGGTTCAACCGAATTATTCAAATCTGCCGAACTCCTCTTAACCACTAAGCCTGCCTTGTAGTCATTCTGGCGGATTCTAGATGGCTACTCAGGAAATCCTGCCTGAGCAGTCTGCTTACTGTGTCCGTATCGGCGGATTCCGTACGTGTAGTAGGCTGGGCGAGTAAATCGGCGCAATTGTGATTAACTTCACGGCTCTCGGCGTGCTTTCGTAGCTCAATTGGTAGAGTGTTGGCTGTACAAAAGTTTTCCCTGCTGATGTGGGTTCAAATCCCACCGAAACCATGATTTTTTGATAATAGGGTCAATTGAAGGATTCAAATCTGCCAAACCCTTTCTACTACTATTACGTTGTTTAGGGATACCAATTTTTTTAAATAAGCGTCAATTTCCGGAAACGTAAAAAATCGCTATCACTGTTACCAATAAATGCAAATGGAATTTTCAGATGAAATCCTAAGCATGCCATCTTGTGTAGATCAAAGAAATTTCCTTCTGCCAAATTATTTTATGAGTAGTTCTTGTATTGGCTTACAATAAGTTTCGGACCATCTTTGCAATTATGAGGAATACTTCGCGATTTTCCGTGTTTTCAAGCTTTTCCGTAAATTTAGATTCTGTTCAATGTGTTTATCGAAACCTACAAAATACAGTATATCCTAAAAAAACATTTACCGAGTAGGTGGGTTTTTGGATATTCTTTCTTATACGTATCAGATTTTCTGGTTCCAGAGGATATTTCCTGGAACATTTCCTGCTTATATTAATGGACCTTTTATAGCATGCAATTTCTTTAATAAAAAGGCTTTCTAAGCGTCAACTTCACTCAACAAATCACAATAACACGATCAAATGTACGCTAAACTACTCACTCATATTTCCATCTGCATATTATATGAGCCAGGTCATCTACTATATTTCGCCATTAGCAAGTCACATTATCCTCCCAAATGTTTCATCACTTTTCCCGAATCAAATTCCCGTTATTTTCTCCGCTGTTGTACTGCTTTTGGCGCAAATGACAATTGTCCGCCACGGCAATCGTCAGCATTTGTTCTCACCACTTAGATTTTAAATAGTCAGTAGTTGTTACTGCAACTGCTGTGAAAAAATTCTGATTGTGGTTCCAGCCGCATTTTATGAATCATTTGCCTCTTAGGAGCATCAGCTCACAGAAACGTGTTTTTCTATCTATTCGGAGAGCGTGAGCGCCAAGGCAGAACGGGACGAGTGAATTCCGTCAGCGCTCGGTGCGCGTTCGCCAACGAATGTTGCTATTCGGCATCTGAACCGGCTCAGGATTTAGAGTGTTGGTCTGTTGATTAAAGGGTCGCGGGATTGAGCCTTGGGTGGTACACCGCCTGAGTTTAGGCATGACGGGCTGATGACGGCTAATGAGTCAAAAATTGCCTTTCCAGTCTCATTGGTCTTTGCTGGCAACGTCCATCCGAATGTTAGTCTATCCATTGGCATCGGTGGGTTCCACTTCCGTTTGGAGAGGCAGCAGCGTCTTGCGCCTGCGTTGCCTTGTTAATAAAGTTTACCTCACTTTCCTGCCACACATAGCGTCTTCCCTCTGAGAAACAATTTCATGCAGAATTGAGTTGGCCATCGATCTACAGTATGGCGAGTGCTGCAAGCAACATTCCGCAATTTGAAAAGACCGGTAAGCACTCGCAAAACAACATTGAGTAGGGTT